GGGGGCCACCCATGGGTGGGGGAGGGGTGGGGGAGCACCCGTGGGGTGGTGGCACCCATGGGTGTCGTCTCCTTCCAGCGAGGGTCGGTTGGAGAACATCTGGAGATCACCCATGGGTTGGCCACCTTGACATCACCCATGGGTTGGCCGCCTTCTTGGGGCACCCATGGGTGGGGGAGGTTGGTGGTGGAGCATCCATGGGTGGGGGAGCACCCAGTGGGTGGTGGCACCCATGGGTGGCAGCTTCCAGTGAGAGTTGGTTGAAGAAGATCTGGAGATGACCTGTAGGTTGGGTGTGCTCTTGACATCACCCATGGGTTGGCCGTCCGCCTTCTTGGGGCACCCATGGGTGGGGGGACACCCGTGGGGTGGTGGCACCCATGGGTGGCATCTCCTTGAGGAGACCCATGGCTTGGCCACCTCCTGGGGGTCACCCATGGGTGCCATCTCCTTGGGGCCACCCATGGGAGCCACCTCCATGGGCTTTACGTTGGCCATTGACCACTTGGGCCACCTTCTTGGTGACACCTGGGGGTGGGTGGCACGGGGGGGGGGTTGTCCCCAGGGTGGGGGTGACGCTCGGGGTGACGCTCTGGGTTGTCCCCAGCGCAACAGCCGCTACGACGGGCAGATCGCCGTCTTCGGGGCCGACCTCCAGGCCAAGCTGGGCGCCCAGAAGTACTTTGTGGTCAGTGGCCCCAGGTGTCCCCAACTGTCCCCAGATGTCCCCAAGTGTCCTCCGTGTGTCCCCAAGTGTCCCCAGGGCTCTCCCAATGTCCTCCTCTCCCACCTCTGTGTCCCCAACCCTTGGTGGCCACCTCATGTCCCCATGGCTCCCAAGGGTCCCCAAAGGTCCTCCTCTCCCATCTCCGTGTCCCCAACCCTTGGTGGCCACCACAGGTTGTCCCCATGTGTCCCCTCCCTGTCCTCTTGTGTCCCCAACTGTCCCCACGTGTCCTCCACGTGTCCCCAAGTGTCCCCATGGCCCTCCCAAGCGTCCTCCTCTCCCATCTCTGTGTCCCCAACCCTTGGTGGCCACCTCAGGTTGTGTCCCCACATCCCTTCCCTGTCCCCAAGTGTCCCCATGTGCCCTCCATGTGTTGCCAACGTGTCCCCTCCCTGTCCCCAAGTGTCCCCTTGTGTCCTCCACGTGTCCCCACGTGTCCCCAGGGCTCTCCCAAAGGTCCTCCTCTCCCATCTCTGTGTCCCCAACCCTTGGTGGCCACCTCAGGTTGTGTCCCCTTGTGTCCCCGAGTGTCCCCTCATCCCCACCCCCTTCCCACCCACGTGTCCCCACCCTCCTGGGCCACCCCGGGCCGTGTCCCCAGGTGTCCCCACGCCCCCCCGCGTGTCCCCGCGCGGGTGGGGGCGGGGGCCATCGGCTGCGAGCTGCTCAAGAACTTCGCCATGATGGGCCTGGGCTGCGGCCCCGGGGGCCACGTCACCGTCACCGACATGGACACCATCGAGAAGTCCAACCTCAACCGCCAGTTCCTCTTCCGGCCCTGGGACGTCACGGTAAAGGGGGCGGGGCTAAAGGGGGAGGAGCCTATGGGGGAGGGGGAAGAGGGGGTGTGGCCGCAGGGGGGCGGGACCTACCAGGCAGGAACCACCAGCA